ACACCTTCCTGTGTGATCTCATTTAAGTGTTGCTGCTCTGGCAGGGGGATTAAAAGTCATGATACCTTACTGGTTAGGATACTGGGAGAGAAGTCAGAATTTGCAGCTTGCCTGTCAGTGACTGTTCAGGGACTCAGCCTCATCAAATGACTGTTTGGTATCAGTATGAAACCTTTTATTGCTGCAGGGTCTTCAGCTGAGGTACCATCCCCCACATGTTGGGGCTACGTAGATATCCTCATTCTGTCTTGTTCCCATTAGTCCAGCAGACTGTACAAAATGGAATTGCTTTGTAAATATCAGAGTATCTTTCATATTCTGCTAAACAGAATTTTATGGTGAGACAGGAGATAAAGAAAAAAAACTAAATGCATGCCTTCTACTTGCTTTGGTGTTCTAATCACAGGGTTACTGCATAAAACATGGAGCTTCCCTTCCTAAACGAGATTTTCAAGCCATGGTTGAGCTTTTACTACAGCTTTATAGTGTATGCCAGAGCTGTGACTCCCCAAAAACTGTAAACCCTTCCCTTCACAGAAACAGAGATTAGCACAAAAAGTGGTGATGTTGAAAGTTAATGCTGAGTGCTGCAGTATTTACATTTTACTGTTTCTTCTTCTGGATTTAGGTCTTCCTTCCTATAGTTGCTGCTTCTACTGAATTCACTGTCCTCTACAGGAGGCACGCAACTTTTCCTGCTTATTCTCTACCTATGCTTTTTTAGTAAAATCTGATAATCAGTCACCTTAGCTAACAGATGATCAAAATGCAAGCAATTTTGAAGTTAACATTTTTCCCTTCAAATACAGACAGAAGTAAATAGCACTCTTTCTTACACAAATCAGTGATCATTAAAAGAATATTTTACTGTTGCAATACACCTTAACTGATCATTCAGAAGAAAATTGTCCTGGGCTAAAATCCGCTTATTTGGTATCTGCATTAAAGTAATGCCTGCAGGCATTTCAGATGCTCAAACTATCTGCACTGTCTGCTTCTGCATTACAAAGACAGAAGTTTTTTCAATATGACTATCTGAAATATAAACAGCTGAAATGCATTCTTCCATTCACTTTACCACCTGTGGAGGTGCTGCTTCTTCTACATCAGCAAAAGGAGAAAAAAGGGGTATGATGAACTGCAGATGTGTTAATGTCAATGGAAAGAGCAGAGACATAAACCAAAAGAGTGTACTTTATGAATACTTTTACAGTTCCTCAATGACTAACAATGTTAGCAATTTTACTGATTATAGTGTATATTTTAGAAGTAATTTAATAGTCCATTATAATTATATTATCTTCCATATTAATAAGCATTTATATTTCTAGGTTTATCTCCCAAAAGTATGGAGGATACAATAGTTTAGAGCTTTGAAAACTGAAGGAGTGCCCCCTCCTTTGACTATGAAAAAGCCTCAGGTGACTAACTTTTGAAAATATGTGCATCATTAAGCACTAAAATGAGGAAATTAAATGAGGATTAAAATGAGGAAAGAGAAATTCAGATCAGAAAAATTAAGAGCTAAATTAATCCAGGGGCTTAAGCAAGACTTGAGATCACAGCTATCATTTGAGGCATCTTACTCTAACAAGGAATTTTGTCAGGAAACACTAAATAATGCACAAAGTACTTTGAGCTTTATGACTGCTCACACATGGTTCCTCCAAGTGCTGCTGGGGTTCATGGCCTGGCAGTCAGCACCTTTGTGCATCCAGGTCCCGTCTCTGAATCCTACCACCATCTGGGTCTGTGTCTTAGGAGCAGCTCAAGTGATGGTCCAGAGCCCAGTAAGCAGCAGCAATTCTATGTAACTCTTCCCATAATTGTATCCAACTCAACTACTGAGAACATCACTGAACTTCCTCACAGAGAACAGTAAAAATGAGCAAGTCAAACTATGGGAAAACTGCAGTGAAGCCCACAAGTCAAATGAACGGACCTCACTGAATTTTGTGAAACTCTACCAGTACTGGGATGACTGTTGTATCAATAAGATATATAGGAAATATTTTTTTTCTTGAAGGTAGTTGAAGAAGGATCAAAGGAAGATACCCATCACATCAATGTCCAAGAACATTTTCTATACATAGCCATAAGCGCCTTGCCCAACATCACACAAAACTTAACATTTTTACTGTTCCCATCATTATGAGTCTCCTATCCAGCCCTTCCTTGTAGACATTAACTATCAAGTTAAATGCACAGGGTGCCACTGAGTTAATGCCGTGATTACACTTTTATGCTAAATGCTTTCCAATCACACAGTGTAAACTGAGTCAGTGGTGCATTTAAATATAGAATGATGTCCTTTTAAGTATGTACTACAGTGCCCTGATCAGCAACTATCTTGAATAAACAGACCTTCCAAAAATGTGTTGCGCATTCTCTGGAAAGCCAGAGCAGCTGCAGCATGGTGTTTATGTTCTGTGTGTGGCATCTGGAATAAAAAAATACCGTATTTTGAATTAAGAGCCTAATTAAGATATACTGCCATTTATATCTATGCAAATCCAGAATTATGCTACCAAAGTGTTTTGATTCCCTCAAACACTGAAACAGCACAAATATCTGCATACTAGCCACTACAGCCTAACATGCAAGAAAGAAGGCAGACAGATGCTTAAAGTTCTCCTTTAAGCCCTTTTGCCACAGAGGGTTTGTTGTTGGGGTTTTTTTTGTTGTTTTTTTTTTTTTTTTAATTTAACTTTTTAGACTTTAACTGCTTGACATAAATTATGGAGTCTTTCTGTCGGAACTGAAGGAAATAAGGATGTGAGCTCTGTGAAGGTCTCAAAACAATTAGAGTGGAACAGCCATAAAGACCTATACAAATATTGCAGAGCAGACAATTACCTATTCAAAATCCATTAATGGATGTTTAAAACACAGATGTTTAAAAACGTTTACACAATAACTTGCATGGTGCATGCTTGAAAAACTAGTGCTTGCTTACTGAGACTAGAAGACTGAGAAACTGAGTGGAAGAAATTACAAAAATGGAAGAATGCACCAGAAATGGATTGGAAATTGCAAAGACTCTGTTACAATACCTCTGAAAAAAAAAAAAGGCTTGTTTCAATATAAGAGAAAATATATCTAAATTTAATGAAATAGTTTTGCATACACATAATTAGGTATTATGGATAGGAGATGCAGTCCATACTGAAAAAAAACTTTTGAAGGTTTAGAAAATTTTATGTGTAATAAAACAAGCATATTTGCAAATGCTAAAATAGTGGAAGAATCAAATCCATGTGAGCTGATTGCTCTGAAAAGCAGAAGGGAATATTTTCTCAATGTGCAGCACAGCATAGTTTCTCTAATAAATATGAATACTTATTTTCTAAAGCAGTGGGCAAACCCTGCTACTTGGGTAAGAAGTAATTCTGTTAAAGAGAGAGAAACTCTGCTTGTAACTGCCCTTTCTTTAATAGCTATTTAATATTTCTTTCTCACTATTCCAAAATGTCTATCAGACCACTGAACATTTTTCCTTTTTTATTTAAAGTAAGTTTTGCTCCTGCAGCTTTCAAAGACTTTTCATAGATTTTGGTGGCAGAAATTAGGTATAGTCTGAAGTCCTAAGAAGTCTCAGACATCAGCTTTGCTGTACCACCTGATATGACTTACTACAGTTTCATTCCAACCCTAACCATTCTATGATTCTATGATTAGAGTTGTCTAAATCTCATTTGTCTGGTTTTATTTTCTTGACTCTTTCAGTGTATTCTGATAGTAGCACAAAGTTTGCTTGAGTAACATTTTTAAAGTTACGTCCATCACCACAGTGATATGAAGCAAACAGCTACATCACTGAATAGAGCACAGTGTTAGAATGTGCTAATGTAATTAGTTCTTTTAAAAATTCAATATAGGTTGGACCATCTCATCTAGGACTACACCACTATCATGCAGAAAATACATTAAAAGTTAAAGATTCTTTCATTTAAAGTCCACTACAAGTCATTAATTCTCCTTACTACTGTTTTAGCATGGAAAGGAGCCAATATCTTTCAGAACACCAGGTACCCTAAAAATATTTTTCATGTAAAAAAAGGACAATTAATTTGCTTCCTTAAAGTTATGGTGACACCTTTTTATAAAAATTCTGAATAAACAATACTGCAACAGAGTTCTTTCCATCTAGTACTCATCATGCTGTGATTTAAATTTTGATTTCATTTTCACATACATTTAAAAACTAAAGATGATACTAGAAAAGTCTAGGTACTAGAGGATAAGAGAAATTGGCAGCATTGCAGATTGATGTTTTACAACAATTATTTCAAAATACATGGGATTTACATTACCACAATAAGAAAAATACATTGAGGAGCAGGATAAAAAATATGTTTCATAATGGAAAAATATGAACATTTGAATCAATCTGTAAGCACAGTTAATCCAAATCAGAAAACTGACCTTTGACTATGAACAAAGGTATCTGTTTGGTCATCTTGGCCAGACCACATATTACCTTTCTCTCCCACAAACTTTATCAAATCCATTTTTACTATTTTTTTAACATGTTAACTGGTTCAGAAGTACCACACAGACACACTGCATCTCACCCTTTTGCCCTGAATTGACTTCTTGTGAAGGTAACAGCAAACCTACTATCAAATGATCTGTTTTAATAACTATACAAATTCTGTCTTCTGACAGATGATCTCATTGGAAATTTCCATCCCAATGGCTGAGGTTTTTTTTTAATAGCACTGTTATCCCACAATTTGGCAATTGAGGACCTAAAGCTCTGTTTCTCTTATTTCTCTTCCCTTTGAGAACTGTTTCATTTAAGTTCTCTGTTCACAGTGAGGTGGTCTCAAAAAAGAAACATCCTTATTAAAGTTGTCTCCATATTTAACTGTAACGAGATCTTGAACAAATCTTTCAAATCTGTTAGATACTACGAGTTAGATCCCCAATTGCCTTTTAACCCATCCCTAAGTAGATTTCTGATTTTGCTTCTGCTGAGGACCTTCCATATCCGTTATTTAACCTGTGCCTCCAGAAACATGCATCAGTTTTGTGAAACACTGGGAACCGACCCTGGAGGGGCAAGGGACAGAAAGTCCGGTCCCTGCGCTACGGCAATATACGCCAGGAGCATCCTGGTGTCAGCAGCTGTTGACAGCTTGACAGTGTTTGCTGTTTTCTGTATGGCACTGGTTCACAAATGGAAAGTTCAGCTCTTTTAAAATGTAGAAATAAAAATACAAGCGTTTAGTTCTTACTGATGTGAAGAAAGTCTTTGAAAAATGTGGCTCTTGAAGCACAAAAGTCTAAATCCATTAAAATTCTGAGACCCTATTTTTAACTCACACAGTTGCTATGTGTGTCTCCGAATCTTTCACAGCGGACTTTTACATTCATGCTGCCATCCTGTGGTCACTCACGGAAAGCACGTAACCTCTCAAGGGCACTGGGAGAAGAGAATTGCAGGAAAGCTTCCCACACAACAGAATTACCGCTGGTTTTGTCGCTGCCCTTTACTTTGCCTACAGCAACATAGTGCTGTATTTCTAAAAGGAAACACAGAATCCAACTAAACTTTTCCCCTCCTGACTTCTACAAATCTTCTTCCTCCTCCATGAGGTGTCACAAGGCAAAATGTCATTAGGAGAAAGTTCAGCTCCAGCCCCTCAAAGCTTGATCTGTAGGTAGCAGTGCAGATGTGTGAGATGTTTTCAGCAGTTTGCTCAGAAGCCTATATAGTTCTAAACCTACAAGGTTGTGGGATATCACTTTAGCATTACCAAGGGCGGGGTGTGGGGTGTGGAAAAAAGGTCCCAAAAGGTCCCTCTATATAATTTCATTGATGTAATTTAGTGTACATTTAATTATCAGAGAAAATCTTTACTCTTATTAGAAAAGGAGATCAAAGTAATCAGTATGTATTTCAAGAAAGGAAATACTTTATCTATGACATTATTCCAATTAAAAAAAAAATTCAAATACGAGAGCAGCTGCATGGGATTGGAATTAATTCTGCCTAGCCCTCTACACATCAGACAACAGCAAGGGCCCACTTTTCTAGCCTTCAGCGACTTGCAAGCCAGGGACTTCTCAAACTAGAGGTGCCATGGCTTTGTTTAAGAGGTGCTGAAGGATATTTTTTCCCCGAATTAATTCCGAAATGTTCTGCTTTTTGCAGATTCATTTTAAGTGACATCTAAGTCTAATGCACATCAGATGGGGGTAAAAATTATGTTAAAAAGCTATTACTCAAAGACATTTCTGTCAGGCTTTATAACACAGTGTTCCTGAGGCTTATATAATATTTTAAATAAACAGGTTTTTGCCTTCAACTTTCAAGCCAAAGTATCATTTCAAGACTACTGACTTTACCTTGGTATATTGCTCACGCTCATGTTCTTGGCTAGAACCAGACCCTGATGTCTGATTATAACGGTGCGCTTTCATTTTCATCTGTCTCGTTCGCTCCTCCACTACTAAGCTTGCTGCAAAAACACACAATGAAAATCAATTAAAAATAGTGACAATATTTTGGAAAAACAAACTGTTTAGCAACAATTTTAACTTATTTCCATCTCAACGAAACAAAGAAATGTACAAACGTAGAACAAGCAGGGTGTAAACACAGAACAAAAGAACACTAATATCAAGAAATAACCACTTCCATTGCGAGAGTCTTTACCTGAAAATGGGCAGACATCCCAATTTCCTATACATAATCAAGCTGATGCAACAGATATAAAAAGAGTGAAAGAATTTAGGTGATAGGTTGAATTATAAAACCTGTAAGTATTCTGGATGCAGGGGACATAAATCCATGATCATCTAATAATGTATTTGCTTAAATGTAGAAAATATTACAGTAGCATTCTAAGAATTAATGCATTAAACAGGTATTAAAATTTATTTTTAAAATAATTAACTCCTACTAATATCTTAAAACATAACTGCTTACCATAGCTAAAGACTATTTGAGAGGAATGATTTCTCTGTTCAAGCAGTCATAGTAAAAAATACAGTAATTTTCTAACAACTTTTTTTTTTTTATAACAAAAGTCCTTTAAAAGCACTACTTTGCTTTCTAATGTTCACTTATATTTCAAATAAATTATTTGTTCTTGTGTTTTTGGTTTCTGTATGACAATGTTTGTTTAAAAAAAGAAACTAATCTTAAACTTTCAAGAAGCTGTGGGCTATAAAGAAGATCTTTTTCAATTTGAACAAGTTATGGCAATTAATATTGGCTGTGCCTCCCACAGGAAGATGACCTTGCACTAACAGGAAGAGTGGTGTGAAAGCCTCTGGGCTAAGGCTTCCTTAAAGTAAGTTGACCTTTGTGTTGGTGGACGATTTTCAGAGGGAACTACATATTCTCCCATTCTTAAACTCGGTAGCAATGTAAATGCAAAGGAATACCAATAAAACAAATACTTTGAAAACAGGTCTAGAACTAGACCCAAATATTCATCAGTCACTATTGTAAACCACAGGAGTACTCACTATGTCCACTATGATTTAACAGGTTATAACATTCCAGAACAACTTCTTTTAGTTGGAATTTTTTCTGTGGTCACAAATTCAAGACTGGCATTTTATTTGGGAAAATCTCCACAAAATTTTCTGATTTTGGGTCAGCCATGGATTTGTATGACTCTCTCAAAAATGATTAGTTTTAAGTCAATATTTTTGTAAACAGTTCCTTCCTGGACCAGTGACAGGAGAGAGACACCAATTTAAAAGCTGCATGAAATCAATCAAAAGACACTGAGAATTTTAAATTAAGGGAAAATAAGTACTTTTTCATGCTGTTTACAGATCTGTATTGTGAATTAAGAGGTACCAATGTTATCATAGCTGGGTTTTATGCTGCTAGTTAACTGTGGGATGCTTTACACATCTGCTTTTTGTCTGTGCTTTGTGAGCACAAAGATACAAAAAAGAAAGCAGTACACTCAGGGCTGGATATTTTAAACTTGTGCTATTGCACAAATCATGATTGTGCATGCACACACCATCCGTAACGTGCTCGTGGAAATCATGGAAAGTCTGTGCTGGCTGGGTATGAAAAAATATACAATGACATCACTGTGAAAAATGCGTTGTTTTCATGTCCTCCTTCCACATTATTTAAAATAGGAAAATTAAATACAGCAAATTACATTAAAGTTCTGCTACAGCTACAAACTTAAGGCAAGAAATAAAGTTATCTCCCACACGCAGAGGGTCCAATCTAGGAAATTCTGCATATGCAGAATGTCACACTGGGTCCAGTGATTATTCCAGATGACTAATTATGTTGGTAAATGTGTACCTTAATTGCAATGAGTCCAGTTCCACCATCAGATATGCAGGCACAGCTCCAATTACTTCAATGGAAGTTGCATGGAGGTATCTGAAGGCAAAATTGAGCACTTTAGGTGAAATTTTTAAAGATGGCCTCTTATTTTATGGACAGATATGAAAGGATTAAGATATATCAATTAGTGACTGAAGCAAAAAACTCAGATATCTTAATCCTATCATACTTGTGTGAAATAGTCTGAGGATATAAAATCAGAGGGAAAATTGAGACCCCTTTAAAAATTTAGCCATATAAGTGTATGGTGCACAGGTTACAGTTACTCTAAAAAATAATCCTTTCCTTGTGTGACTTTTAGGTGCTTCATCCTGTCAACTGTAAATTATACTAAAGAATTTATAGGAAAAAATGTTAGTCTGTATTACTTACAATACTTGAGAAAGAATATTCTATTATGTAATGAGATGCTATTTCAGTGACTATATGTGAAAACTACTGCAGTCTAGGTTGGGTAAATATTCAACCTTAACTCAGTAATGCTTGATTTTTGTTATGTTTAAATCCTTAACCTCATGCTTATAACATGAGATCAATTATTGAGGACTGTGAAGTAATTCTAAATTCTCTAATTAAAAAAATTAGTTTTGTGCATGGAGTAAAATATATTTAGCTCACCAATTAGCTGGTAAATGTACTTCTAAGCAAGCAACACTGTGAAATGTAAGTCTGCTCTAGAAAATGTAATTGTGTTCCTTCCAGGTTTGTTTACCATGCACATCCAAACGTATGTGGTATTTAGCTCAATGCTGTGATGCAAAATTTTATCTGCTTGATAAGTAGCCCAGTATACTCTTCACATATTAATCACAAGAAGCAGAACAAAATCTAACATAGGAGCAAAAGCACATTAGCAGAAGCTGTAACAACCATAAGTAACACCACCATACGATCACATTACTTTCTTGGAACACAGCTGGTTACCACAGGTAATGAAAATTTGACATAAACAATATTTCAAGAACTTGACCTGTCTCTCAGAAAAATATGGTTCTACTTTCTTTTAGGACATCAGTATTTAAAGAGTGCTTTTCCTGGAGCTCTTAAGAGGTAGGACTGCACAGTAGTTTACATGTTGAAGCACTGTAATCCCAAGACCTCTAAATTCTACAGAGGCCCCAGAATTCAAAATATGGAGATTTACAACAAGTGTCTGAAATTAGTGAATAATAGAATAAAAGAATAGAATCACAGAATGTGAGTTGGAAGGGACCCAGAAGTATCATCAAGTCCAACTCTTGCCCTAGCATAGGACAATCCCAAGATTCAGACCATGTGTCTGAGGGTGTTGTGAAAACGCTTTTTGAATGTTGTCAGGCTTGGAACACTTAGAACTACCATCAATATCAGTTGTGTCAACATGTTACTCTCTTTGGTGTCACAAGCCACACTTGAAAGAGCGATCACTCTCATCTCTTCAAGAGGTGCTGATTCAGATGTGAGATCAATCAGTGTAAGAAGTAATTGAAAGAAGATAAATCATTAAGGAGACTGCTTAGATAAGGAGTGCAGATTTAGAGCTAAAGCTTTTACTACAATGGGTTTTCTTAGGTAAACCATGTAAAGGTTGTACAACAGTTAGGTACATAAACAATCAAGCCATGCAGGAGAGAAAAGACAGACATACGAACAGAATCAAAATGTTATACTTCAACTTCAATATATTGGTCTAATTCCTGTAATCCCAAGTGTACTTGGTCTGGCTGGGATGGAGGTAATTTTCTTCACAGCAGCACCTCACTTGCTGAGTTTTGGACTTGTGACTAAAACATCGTTGATAATACACTGATGTTTTTAAGCAGTTGCTGAGCAGTGCCTGCACAGTGCCAAGGCCTTCCCTGTTTCTCATGCTGCCCACTCCCAGCAAGAAGGCTGGAGATTGGTAAACAACTGGGACACCTGACTCCAAATGACCAGAGGAATGTTCTGTACCATGCAGCATCATCCTCAACAATAAAACTGGGGGTAGTCTTTTCAAGGCAGCTGTTGCTCAGAGACTGGCTGGACATTCGTCTGCTGGTGGGAGGTGGCAAGTGATCGCTTTTCTATCACTTGGTCATGGGTTTCTTGGTTGATTGGCTTGTTGTTTTTTTTTTTCATTTTTTCTTTTTACTTATTAAACTGTTTTTTATCTTGGCACATGAGATTTACTCACTTTTGCTCTTCCAGTTCTCTCCCCCATCTCACTGTGGAGGGTGGAGCCAGTGAGTGGATGGTGGGTGCTTAATTGATGGCTTGAGTCAAACCACCATACCAAGCTACCAAGAATTAACTGCCCAATGTGGTCTTCCATCAAACCAACAAAAGTTCCCTTAGCTATTACTTAGTTTATCACTCACCTCACTGCTAAGTCCCATCTGGCTTCCACTGTGAATTATATTCAAAGGAAGAAGACACAGTCTAAAACTATAAGACCACCTCCTGTTCCATAGGCTAGCACGTCCATCAGTTCCTCCTGGGTCTGTTCCTCACATGTCATTCAAGAAACATTCTTGTGAAGACTCTGCACCCTGTACTGTAATTCATAACAGATCGTAGAGGATTCTAAATACGCTATATGCTGGAAGTACAACTAAACATCTGGATTTCCATTCTTTGCAGAGGTGATCATGGTATTATTAAAAGAACAATTTAACATGTGTACATAATGGAATAGTTGGTTTTTTTCTCATAAAGTAATTTAAAAATTGGCTTTTATTTCTTGTGATAAAAGAAGTTTAAATTAATTTAAAGGCAGTTCTTGGTAAATGTTTCCATCATAAGGAATGGAGATATAGGACAGCTCTCCTTTGATTGTATAAAATATGGAAATTGCTAATATGTTACTTAAAGAAGGTAGGGAATAAACTAAAGAAAATAGCTACAGGTCTCTCATTTTCATCCTGCAATCTACTCTCCGATAAAATTCTAACAGACCAACAGGTTTTTTTTCTTAAAAGAGATCGTAATTTCTTATTCTGAGAGATTATCTCTTTACTAAGAATTTATATGCTCCTTTTAAGAGAGAACTAGTATGGGCACATTTCTACCCCTATATGCTGTTTCACTGATAGAGAGGTTACTTCTGGCTAGAATCCAGAATATGAATCTAGCAATGCATGAAATCTAACTTTAAAATAAATTCAACCTGTATTAGTATGAACAACAGACCAATCCTATGAAAATTAGTGAGAGCTACAAAAGCTGCACTAACAGTAGCGACCAGTGCAAAAGAAAATGAAGTAATTTTGAGGTTTTATGTCCCCTAATTAAGGTTTGGAAGAGGGGCTAAACTATATATTACTTGCAAAATTTCTTAAATGGCACAATGCTATAAACACCTATTTATTAAGCTATTAAGCTTAATAGAACACCTATTAAGCTCATAGAACAATGTATGAAACATGTATGGGCTCATTTAAATAAGGATTGTACCACATGCAGCAATATGGAACTACCAAGGAAGAGTGAAAATGCTGCAGCTGCTTTTATAGCTCTTATCTGTTTAGGTATCTACCTCTTTCACATTAAAACAATAATCAAAGAGACTCTAAACTCTGTAGACTTTGGAAAGATTTGAATCTTGACAGTAAATAACATCTAAAAAGAACCCACTCATACATTTGGAAAAAAGGGTTTAGAATTGGTTTAGCACTGAAAATACCTCCTGTGTAGCAATGTGTCCATCTTGGATTCTTGACCATCACAAATTTCAAGAAAAACCACCTTCCACCCAAAACTGAACTGCTGAACATGCTACACATGTATCTCCAGAAAAATGTCACTCTCTCTGAAGTGAAGACTTGTTGCTATCTAGCAAATAATAAAGCAAAAAAGGAGAAGAGAAATTTTGGCAAGGTACATGAAAATAAGCCTTTATGCTTACAAAAAGAACAACAAATGCTTAAATGACATACAGAGATAGGGTATTTTAGAGACATTTAAAAAAACCCCATGGAAACTGGAAGATACTCAGTTTATTTAAAGAAGTCTATCATTGAAAGCATACTGTTGGTAAAAATGATTTAGGGAGAAGTCATGAGAATTATACATAGTCCAGGACATGATCCTGCAGAAACAGATTTAAGAAATTATTAAAAAGAAGGCAAATTTGGCTTGACAGTGAGAAGATTTCAAACTGTAGAAGGCTCTTCAAGTTAGTGGACACAGGTATAATAATGCCCAGTAGCTATGAAGAAGTTAGATAAATTCAGATAAATATGTAAGTACTAAGATGTACGTTTAAAAGTCAGGTGGTTAAATACAGGAACAATTTTCCATCACTTGCATTCATTAAGTGAGAACACCTTTCTAAAAGGACATTCTTGCTCAAACTCAAGTATGGGCTTAATGCCAAGAACTGGTGTTATTACCTGGTCTGTGATCAAAACTGATAATCATATTGGTCTCTTTTAGACTACAGAAAACCTATGGATACCTTAGCACTGGCTATACCATTTTCTATGATGTCTGCAACAAACACAGAATTTGTTCTTTAAGCAATTCAGATTTCTGTTCAAGATAGTGAAGACAGAAAGGAGGTGCAGGCAAACAGTACAATTTGGAAATCCTCCAAGTCTTACCAGCACTACTAACTGCTGGAGTAAGCTACAGAACAAGAAGAAATCAGCATAAAAATTTCAGATGGCTGTAACCCTTATCAGCAGATATCACACAACCTTTATGATGGCAACTTTAAGGGAAAAAGTCTAAAAGTCTAAAATCATAGAAAGATTTATTTACACAAGGAAGCTACTGAAAAATAAGTTGAAATGAACATTTATCTCATAAAAACTATTTTACAGTAGCAGTGTTTCTGGGGCACAAACAGCAAGTAGTGGCAGGGCAAGAGAACTGCAGTTATCTCAGAAGCCAACAGAGAGCTTCATACTAAGAAGAAAAGTTGAACAAACAGCTACAATGCAGTCTAGAGGTATGCACACTTAGCCTTTCTACACTGCAAAACCCAGGAGCTTCATCTCACCATGCTGCTTAGGTGCTCTCTGGATAGGAATGAGGGGAAAGAACAGTATGGGGTTTGAGGAAGTGAGAGGTAGAAGCTGGAGAAGAAACTATGCAGAACCTATGTCCAGCACAAAGGCAAGGTAATAAAGCAGTGATAAGATTTGGATGGGAGAATCCCGTAGTGCAGTGGGCAAGGGAAATGAGAAGGCGGGGGACCATTCACTGAGCTGGCTGTGCTACACAGGGAAGAGAACTCACACCGGTGTTGGATCAGGATGAAGCATTTCAGAAATAATATGGAGAGCCTCTAGTTTATTTCTGTTCAGCATTCAGGATGAGTTTTGCAATACGCACACACAAAGTATCCCTGTGGTAGGTTTCATGACTGTAAAAATCCACAGCAAAGTCTACTGTGAAATTTAAAAAATGCAAATTTTTGAAATCATCAGCAGATTCATGTTTTGAAATACAAGCTTAGTAAGAATGAAAAATCAATTTGTTGCAAAGATAAATAACTTGTTACTATTTCTCTGCATATATGACTTCAAAAAGTACTTATCAGCAACAAGCAGATAATAAGCAGGATGGGTTCTGAAGTCTGTTCTGTAGTCCTGGTCCCTGAACCTGACTAGGACATGCTGTGGCTCCTTTAAGCTGGTGTGCTGGTGTGGGTTTCCTTTCCATAGGAGCTGATACCACTCTGGGCCTCCTCCCAAATCAGAACTGAGGCATGACCAAAGGACACACTCAGGCTGCCAAGCTGGGAAATGAGCTTGGATTCCCCAGAACACATAGAAGCATGGTGGCCACCCTGAGTTTAATAACTCGCTCCAGAAGGAAGATAAGCCAATACAAAAATCTGAACCGGCTGAGGCAACACTCAGTTCTTCCTCAAAGAGTTTCAAGGATGATCCGAACAGAAGTTTCTATTCAAAAGAAAACAACAAGAAAATAAACATATTCTTCTTAAAAATTGAGAAAAGTAAACCACTGGTTTTGGCAGCAATCCAAGGCAGCATTTTATTGACCTGCTGAAGACCTCATCATAACCTTTCCCACTGATGAAGTGGAACAGATGCTTGATTTCTTTGTTGTAGATTTATCTGGTCAGTGATGTTCATAACTGTAGTATAGGCTTTCCTTCATAGCTATGTCTCTTGTTACATAATATTCCTGTAACCTCCCCTCCCTCCCCATCTCCCAAGCTCTTTTAAAAACCTGTTACAGGTGTGATCTACTTCAATTGTCAAAAGTCAATTGTTTTAAACAAAGAAACATCCACTGCAGTGCAAATCACAGGGCAAGGTTTGTGAACTTCAAAGAGGCACAAACAACAAACTGACATGATTGATTTCTATTGTTCTGTTTGAGAGAACTTTAAATACTGAAGAAAGCAAAAACGACAGAAATATTTTTTAAGTCAACCATTCTTCGCACTTTCTTAAGATATTTCAGTTTGTTCTTAACGCTGTAAAATAATCTGCTAATACTTAAGTTAAATTCTATTTCTTTTTTATTTGTTTTAACATTAGCATGCAAACATACTCCTGAGTATTGGTGTGGGTGTTGGAGTTCGTAGCTAGTGAAACAGCTGCTGTATTTTATATAAAGAAGTATAAATGTATCATTAGGATTCACCCTTCAGAAAGTAAAGAAGTTGTAGGAGATATTCTGATTCAAGTTCCACTCACAATTTGCCTGTGACTCACCAAAGCCTGTTTTCAGACCAGAATTTCCCAAGATCTGCAGGACTCAGGACTAAAGGTCAGAAAAGGTTAATCTGTGCTATTAATGGTTTTGCAGCACAGTATTTTGCTGTTAACATTAAAAGGGATTCATTTTTAATTTTTTTCTCCCCCAAGCTTCATTCTGATTTTGAGATAACTCCTACTTTCAGTAAAAACAAACAAAAAAAACAGGACTTCTCTGCAATGTTGTCTCTAAAGGGACATGACAGACGACACTTTTCACTTCGTGGGACAGCCTTAGACACCTGTTGTTGCAGCTCACTGATTCACTAGTATCAGCACAGATGTGGAGAATTCATAGGAGTTCAAATTCATAGGAGGTGAGCGCTGCATGCCTGCCCCAGAAACCTGCCCTACAGTGTGAGTAACTTTCTGAGTGTGAAGGGCTTGTCATGCAAATAAAACACTGCTCATTCTTCACAATTTGTCTGCATACAAAGGATAGTTTCTGGCCATCACCATCCTCAATTATTCCTAAACCCAGACCTATGAAACATCCTTCACAGATGCCAAGAGCCATGGTTGCATCATTAGAAGCAGATGGTGTGCAGAGCTCAAGAACAGCTTAGGTAAAATCTTAGTCTTTGAATGAACTTTAACTCAATTGAGCAGCTTCTGAGCCATGTAAAATACCACGACTACTCCCCTTAAATCCAGTATATTGCATTTCAATATGAAAATTGGAAATCACAAGATAAACCATTTTCAGATTCTAAACAGGGGAATCAGGTAGCATATAGGTATTTCAGAAACAACCTTCTCACCTGTTAAACACTGTTAACTAAATACTATATACTGACATGGAATATATCGAGGGAAAAGTCAGTATTAACAGTTGCCAAACAGATGTAAAAAATTACATAAATATTTACCTTTTGTGGAAGAGTTAAAAGTCTCTTGCTCTTCAATGAATTAAATGCACGGAATGATGGAAACAGAAAAAGAAATCAGCAAATTTAAAGTTAGATAAAGAAATGTGTTACATGTGACAATGGCATGTACAGTAGGCAGTACTCCAGCATATGTAAAAGTAATGTAGAAAATTAAAATGATAAACCATGACAAATAATAAAGTCTATGACTTTTTCCTTAAAATTAACAGGAACAATGAAGTTATTGAGATCCAGATTGTGGACTCTTTTAAGTATTCCACTCGAGCAGTAGTGACATACTCAAATTTATGAATGACATAAAAATCTTAAAATTGCTTTGCCACTCTCACTCCTGAACCATGTAGCCTTGTTTTAGATTCTGAAGCCTCTTCTGCAATGCTGAGTGTTACACATTTATTTTCTATGAACTGAAATCTATAAAACTCAATAACCACTGGACTATTGAAGATCAGTATTTAAGGAAAACATAAAAGATTATGAGGCTTAAACTCATTTGTAAGAGTTAGTAATGCTGCAAAAAATACTCTCCAGCATGAGCAAAGACTCCACAAGCTGCCTCAAAATATGCAGTGCCACCTAATAATTTCAAAACAAAGCCAGAAATATGAAGACAAAACAAACAATGCTAAAAGACTAAAATCTAAAATAGAAATCACTTGTTCTTTTCATTTTGACACGCAAGTTTTATACTGATGGATCTGAAAAAAGGTTTTAACTTAAAGGGCTTCATCTTTTACCATTACTCAAGCCATAATCTCACCGTAATGACATTTCAATAATCAAGTGCATGTACACAGAATGGTTTTCACTAGCTATTCATTTTTTTCAGGATCTTAAATTGGTTAAATATAAAAAGATATTTGCAATTAAAATGTATTATTTGAATAACATTGATTTTTTGTATGAAATTACGATTCTTTTTTTTGTTAAAAGGAAAAACTGTACATGAAAACACTTTATTCCTCTATGATGTGACTACCATTAAAGACTTGTACATATAATATATGAATGAACTTTATACAAGTAATCCCCTTTCAGCACCAGTAGAGTCTTCAGTGTAGCTTTCCTCATGAAACAGCAGCACACACACACCCACACCCACACCCACACCCACACACATGCACTTTACCCTGCATACAAGGTATGTTCAAAGCTTATGCAGCTTTTTCTAACACAAGCTAAGACAGAGCAATACTTAACGCTGGTTGCATTTTTGCTTTTCTAAAGGTCACTGCCTAAGGCCTATTGCCAGAAACAGATGCCACTGGAAACACATTCAGCCACACTACTTCAGTTATGTTTACAGATACTCTTCACATGTAAATAGGCTGCTGATTATCAAAAACCTTACTTGCATTATAAGACTTTGAAACATGAAACCACACTGTGGAGTCTATGAAAAAGAAATCATGCTGTGAAAAGCCAAATAGAAGCAGATACTGGGAGAAAGACCTGTTTTGTATGAATTAGCTTTTAAAGATCGTTTCTATGCTACAATCATTGCACATTTATCTTGATGGTTCATAAATTTCAAGAGTACATAATAAGTTTTTTCTTATTTACTTGCTAGATTTACTAATATTATCCCTAATATTATCTATTTCAGCTAAAAAGGAGTGTAGAAAAATGCTACAGATCTTCAGGATATATTCATTTTGCTGATCAATACAAAATTTAATCATTATACAAATGTGTAGAGACCCACCCTCAAATTCAAGCAAGAGCTCGTGTGATGTTTGATAGTTGCAACGACAAGAGTACAGACTGAGTAAAGGTCGCAGAAGCATGCTTTATACAGAAGTATCATTCAGAAACCATACAACTGCTTAACAAAGTTGTTATAGAAACAGTTGAAAAATGAAATTAACGCAGAATCCTCACCTCTCAATGATTTGCACAGTTCCACTCAAACATGATGCAAATAATAAAACCCACTGATGCAAATCTCTTACAGCTCGGTATAGGATGACATATTGAGAACACAGCATTGTCCTTACCATGGCTTAAAATTTCACTGCTTTAGTCACTGAGCCAGAACATCTTCATGTTATTAGGTCCTTTTACAAAATTATCAGTTAAAAATAAGAAATAAAAAATGCTTCTTCAGTAGCATGTTAGTGTAATGACTACCAAATCATGAGTTTTTGAGAACACACACAGACACACCTATACCAGACTAACTTTCAATATTCAAGCATCTTAAGACCTTTAGTTGCAGTAACACCCCAGCATGTCTTGCACTGTAGGAAATACTGGTGATGGGTCTGCAGAGGAAAGACATACAGCCAGGTCTTCCTCCAGTATCACTGGGATTAAAATAAAAAACATATTGCCTTAAAACAACAGGAGTTTACAATCTTGACTGTAAGGGCTTTAAAAAGTCTGCATGTACTGGAGTTAGAACTGTTCCAAGTAAAAATAACTACCCCCTCCAAAACTAGGCAAAGCTGCTATCCCCTTTAGAACATCATTACCAAGAAGCTTTCCCTTTTTTTTTTTTTTTTCCTTGTGTGCATATTTATGCTGTTTTGAGCTTTCGTTCTTAAATTGGACTTTTCCCCCTACATTTAATATTTTTTTCTCTTTTCCTAATCAGTAGTAACAACCCCATTTCTGTAATGGTATAGGGACCACTACTCTGGTCTTCTCTGTAAGAATTACTTCTAGGAGTTTGGTTTGGTTTTTTTTAAATAAAGTGTGTCTACTAATCGGGATCTTTTAAAACTACCTTATTTTCTCAGGAGTTGACTTTTTATGATTCTCAAACTGCTGAGCAGAGCAGTAACTAAGACATTATCTGGGAGAGACAAGGAAACAACCTTTTTTTTGACAATGATAAAATGGAATGTCTGAGATGCAATGTCAGTCCTAAAAGAAGTTGTATTAGCATGGATATGATCACGCACAATTGAGAGCTAAAGATTAAAGACTGAAAGTAAAAATCTCTTCTAAGACTAGGAGTTAAAATATCACTCTGTTTCTTGAGATAAAATCTCTTGCTCCTTCATTAACTTTCATGTGTTCCATAACAAGAGCTTTAAAAAGTAATAAAATTACTTTACTGGATTGTTCTATGCCTCCCAAATATGCAAACAGCACATAAAAACCCCAGTCTTGATACACAGACAGTCAATCTTTTTATGGCAATCACTGTGATTCATAGAACAGACACGGATTCATAGATGTATATACTTAGATGTGCATTCAACCCTCCTGACACAAGAGCATTGGTAGAGAGTGTAAAGAAGTATTTTACTATAAAAATGATGCCTCATGGTATATCATACAGGATTTCCTTGAAACACAGGATGTCCATACTGACCACCAAGAAGTAGCTTTTTTTATAAGTGAAGAAAATGCAAAGAATTTTGAAATGCTCCCTATAACATTTTATATTGCACTAGATTTTGACATCACCTATATTAATAGTGGCTGTGAATTTAAATCATTAAGGACACAATTCAGTTCCAAGTGCAGTTAATGGAAATCCTTTACAGACCTCAATATGCTTTGGATTCAATGCTGCATTAGGGTTAGATAACTTCTAGTCACTCCACTTGACCCTGATACCCATTTGATACTGTAAATCAGAGCAAATGTTATGGTCTTATAGCCTCACTGAAATTAATTTCTTACAGTGGTACAAAGTTTATACATACTATTGTATTAATCTCAGAAAATACTGACAAAACTGTTTAAAATATTTTATAAAATCTATTCAGTTTAGTACTTCTTTGCAAATATATTCTCAGCTTGAACAAAGTCTTAAACATGGGTAAAATCAGAAAACCTCCCCTTCAAAAGGACAAGCCACTGACTTAGACAAAACCAAAGTACTTTGTAGAGAAGGAAATCTCTAGCCTTCGTTTCCATGTGCTATAATATAGCCATAGTAACATAGACAGTATGATATATAACAACAAAGTATACTTTGTCCTACTCGTACATTTTATACATAAGACGCAAACATATCAACCACAAGTGTAAATAAGATTTCAGGGAAACAGCATTACTTTACAGATGTTCATGGTATCAACAACTTTCTAAACCTAGAGTAGCTTTAGCCTTCTGTTCAACTTTCATTTTTTCTTTCCTCTTCTGTATACATCCCATCTCTACACATTTTCATGGTAAGTTCTACATTAATTTTCAATGTCTTTAACAACACATAAACTAGTACTTCATTCTCAACACACAAGAACAGCAGAAAGATGAGAGATGGATATCCAAAGGAAAGCCAACTTAAAATTAAATTAAAAGCTGATTCACCATTATATACTGTACCAAGTTCTGAAATTGCAGAAGACACATGAAAGAAATTTTAAATTAATTATTTAGTACATTTCCCTAAAAAGCTCCCAACTTACTAATATGCAGAAATAGAAGCTGTAAATGTAGTTTGGAAATAACTTACAATCCACAGTCCTAGATTCACTACGAAACAAAATGAGAGGATTCAAATGTAAAGTTTAAAATAAATACAACTCACTCGTATTAGTATATTCATCATTCAGAATAAACACATGTATAAAACAAGAATACATTTTTTTGTATGTGTTACTTGGAAGATGTAGCATGCCATCACAGCTCAAAGCCATAAAATTAATGTAAGCTGATTGCATGTTAATGTAAGCCATCATAAAAAAAAATCTCCTATGGCAATCTATCATGATAAGAAGGTCAAGTTCAGCAACATCATCTGTTAAAGAAAGTGGTCTGACAACAGTTCTATGCACTATAATATTTCAACATTAGAAGCATTTCTTTAATTTCCACATAGAAGAAAACCTTGTGGTACATGGCAATCGCAGTTGTTGCTTGTAGTCAATGAGAAAACAGACTTTCTAAACACAGAAGAAAACCCGAATGTGCAAATATTATCCATTGTGCCATTTCATTTTACCGTAATAGCTCATACTCTGTGTGCAGTATGTTGCTAGGAAAGGAAACAGCAATACTCATACTTATTTGATATTAGTATGTAGAAAAAAACTTCCACAACCACTCAGTCTACATTGTCTTTTTCGAAAAAGAGCAGCACTCTGTCTGATCAGTTTATTCTTAAGAAAGAAAGAGCTGATGACCTGTGCTTTCACATTTCCCATGGTGATTATTTTAATTCTTTAATCAATGAACTATGAACTCCAGAAGAAAAACAGATTTGTGACATTTGTTATTAATCTCTGTTAACAATGAACAACAATTAATACAAATCACAAAATAAGAAATGAATAAGACTGTCAGAATGTTGTCAAAATCTTTGCCCTGGATTTCTTTAGCTGAATACAAACTAGATATGTGTTGGAAACTACCATGACTCTCATAGAAATTTTAAAGTAAACAAATATAAAAGGCTATTAGAAAATTAAGGCTATTAAACCATGTGTAATAATCCACTGGTCAAACTCTACTGGATTTCCCAGACTATAAATATGCTTTCATTCTCTTCTATTGCTTTATTGGTAGAATTATAGCATTGAACACATAGTTATGAAAGTAAAGTAAAAAAAGGTAAGAAATCAAAAAGTTTGAGCTATCTTAAGCTCATTATTTGATACCTTGCTCTATACTGCCACTTCTTACTGGAACTTGCGGTAGCTGTCTTCCCCTGCGACTGCTGAAGGATGTGTCTGCAGGAGGAGACTGTGTGGGACTTCCTTGCTGATGTATTCTGCAAATGAAATGAAGATAAAAGTAAAATAACCTAAATGAAGATAATTTTTATATTCTGAACTTTAAACACATATTAAGTTGCATATACTGAAGATGGGTTTGAAGAAGTTTGGATTTGGTGTATGCCATATGAACATACTCAGGTTTGGATACCTTGTAAACTTACAAGGTCTCACGTTTAATTTCTCTAACTACCTTCATCTAAGGAGAAATACTTTCCTATGTTTTGTTGTTGTTTTATGGTTGGGTTTTGGGGTTTTTTTGGATGTTCTCCTACACTGTTATGAGTGCAATACAAAATGACGCATCTAGATTTTATTAACTTTTGTATTCCCTGTGTGTTGATGCAATAATTGTACAAGGTCACAAAGAACTGGACAGCAAGTATTTATTCCCATGGGATATCATGTTGTTTTTCCCTGAACTGAAAGAAGGAAAAAGACTTGGTACTGAGGGAGCATGTGTGTGTGTCCACGTGAAGAATGTACAAGATTTTTAATATGCTTATCTAAGTATCTTAAACCCCTTTGGTGGAATTCTAGCTAGTACTATTTCAGAGCACCTTGGCTACTTGATTTCTCATACATAGATACAGCATCTGAGTGTAACACATCAAACACCTTTGCCACGCTGGTAAGTTTGCATTTAAAATAAGTAGCACCACCTCTAATAACT